CTGGCCCCTCTAGGCTGGAAATGCCCAAGGTAATCCTGAGACAGCATGGGGGCTGGATGCTGCCCTCACAGGCACCAGCCTCTGGGGCACCTGAAGCCCTTCTCTCTGGCTTTTGGGCATAGGGTCCCTCCCTGGGATCACTGATGACGGTGACCTGAAGCAGTGCCAGCAAATGGCTCTGAGCTCTACCATCCAGGCACAGGACATGTGGCCATCAAAGCCCGCTGCCCACCCTCCATCCTCTGCCTCCCCACCACCAGCATAGTCAGCTCTGGTTTATTTAGTTCAAGAGACTCACTTCACCCTGCCTCTTTGTCCCCCAGGTCACAGGGGTGAAATGTGAGCCCACCTTGCCCCTCCCCTTGCCCCCTCCCCGGGTGAGAGGGCAGAGAAATGGTTACACTCAGCGTGTTCACAAACAAGACACGCAGGCACCCCAGGCCAGGGCGCACCACCCGGGCGGGCCTTGAGCCAAACTCCCTAATTTGGTCACTTCCACTGGAAGCAGGTTGGTGAACTCCTGGGGGGCTAGGCCAGCTGTCCATGGGACCGTATCCCTCCCAGCCCCCCGGCTTCAGGAACCCTCAGAAGCTTGAAGCCCCGCAGAGAGGCAGAAGTGGGACAGACAGCGCGGCAAGAGACGGACCCGGGCCCAGGGGCCAGGCGGGGGCTCACCAGCTGGAGCACGGACGGTCGCGCAGGGGCTGGGGCCGGACGCCGGACGCAGCGGCCGAGCAGCGCTTACGGGCCTCCCTGGGCGCCCTGGGGCCTTTTTATCCGGCAGCCGCCCGCGGGCGCCCCCCACCCGGCCGCCCGCGGAGGACGCCCGCAGGCCCCGCCCCCGGGCGGACCCGGTCGACTCGGGAGCCCGGCCCTGTTGGCCCCTTGGCTCTGCGCCCCCCGCCCCCCGCCGGGACGCGGGCCAGCGCGCCTCGGGCGACCGTACGCCTCTGGCCCGGGAAGCCCTCGGGTCACGAAGTTGCAGGGAGCAGCGGGGCGCCGGGTGGACTCAACTGTTTCCCCTGGAGGAAACTGACGCGCTGCAGCAGGAGAGACTGTGGGAGGATCAGAGTCCGCGTGAGAGACGGGCGGCGCCAGCGGGCTGCGTTTGCCTGGGGGTGCCTGTGGCCCCAGGAGCCCCTGTCCCAGGCGCGGTTTGCTCCACAAAGCCGCGTGACACGCCCACGCCTCAGAATCCCCCCCATTCAGTGAGTCGCGGGAGGTGTCAGTGCCCAGAGCACGGTATCCTTAACAAGGGAGCGCCTTACTGCCAGAGGGACCACCAGCCTCCCTTGGAGGGGGGCGGCCAGCGAGGGAGAGGGGAGCTCAATTCCAGCGAGCTCCGGATGGTGTGGTGTCTTTGGAGTAACAGGTCCGCTCCATTGCCCTGGTCCCTTTACATTTATTATTTCATGAGCACCAGGTTTCTTGTTCTGCCCATTGTACAGTTGGAAACACTGAGCCCCAAGAGACACGACCTGCTCCCCCAACTTATAAACAGTAAATGGGAGAATTTGAATCCTCCCTTACAACTCCTTACAGAGTTGATGAGGCAAGTCCTGGCCCTTGACAGACCCATAGCTGGAGGGTAGGTGGCGTGTGTGTGCGCTCGCGCGCACACAACTATACGAGGCAGGAAACTATAGAATAAGACAAAAGTAAAAAAGGCTGAAAGAGGGGACCCATCAGCTTAATTGAGCTCCCAGGCACCTGTATCCCAGTCCCTTTCCTCCAAATTCTTTCCCTTAGTCCCGGTCCCTCCCAGTGCCTCAGTGCCCCCATCTATGGGCAGAGAGTTCCAGCCTCCTAGCTTCCTTCCTAGGTCCAGCTCAGTACAGCCTGGTTCCCCCTCTTCCCCCAACCTTGCCTGAGTGTCCTTCCAAAGGCTCATTCATTCAACAAATCTTTATTGATTTTCTCCTCCTTGCTAGACAGGGGGCTGGAGTGCTAGTTGCTGCGGGGGTGGGAGGGGACTTCCCTGTCTGGTAGGGGAGACAGACGTGTAAACAAACACGACAAGGCAGAAAGTGATAAGGGCTAGGTGGCAAGGTGGACCTTTCTGATCCCTGGGTGACAGCCAGGTCACACTGACCTGGCTGCTGGAGGACTCCTGTCCACCCCTGGCCGCCCGTGTCCCAGATGTCCCCCCAATGCCCCTGCCCCACCCCAGCAGGGCCCAAAGCATTCCCTGCATGAATCAACAGGAAAGAATGCTCCCAGCTTTGGGTCAGTGGCAGCAGCAGCCCAGCCCCACCCCTGGGGACAATGAGGCAGCTGTGGGCTAGGGTGCCAGGTATGCCGCAGCCCCCTCCTCGTGCCCGGCCACCTCTCATGCCGAGCCAGGAACAACACAGAGGGATCGGAAAACGTGGGCTCCACCTGCTGCCAATCACCCGCCCAGGCCTGGCTGCCCAGAACTAAAAATACCTTGGAGGCCGGCGGCCCTGGCTAGAGCCCGGGAATGAATGGATGTGTTGCCCGGAAATGCATTGACCTACAAGACTCTGGGCAGAAGCTGAGGCCAGGGAGCAGTAAAAGCAGAAATCTCCCCAGGGGGTCACTGTGAGGCTCTCTTACTGACAAGTGACAGGGTTGGGTCCCAGGCCCAGCCCTATGGCTTACTAGTGGTGGGATTTTCTCAGCTGAGCGGCTATCTCCTCACCCTTAAATTCGATTGCTGTGGGGGTCAGATGGGACAATTTAGTTCATCTCAATAAACTTTGACTTGATGGAGACTGCCTCGTCCTCCTTCGTGCCTGACTGTGCTCACAGCCTCAGCCAGAGCCAAGGACCTCTTGATATAGAGGTCTGTGTCTGCCTCAACTCTGGGGGCCCTGGAACTTCTTATTTATCTCTAAACCCGGATTCTGTCACATGGCTCAGTGCATAGCAAGTGCTCACTATATGCTGGCGGGTGGAGTAAGTGGGTCTGTTTATACTGGTCCTTGAGCTAGAGCCCGGAAGTGTGGGGTGGGGGGAGGCACAAACAAGCCAGATATGATCCCTGTCCTCAGGGAATTTGCAGCTTGGTGGGGAAGACAGACTCAGAATCAGCCAACAGACGAGGCACTGTCATCGTGATCATCAGAACAACTAACAGATGCAGAGCAGTTACTCTGTGTATCATCTCATTCAATCCTCTTAAAATCCCTATGGACAACACTTTCATCACCCTCCTTTACAGATGATGAAACTGGGCACAGAGAGGTTAAGTGATTTGGCCAGAACCACACAGTCATTATCTGCAGAGGATAGCGAGTGGTAAACTGTAGCAGAAATACAGTTAGCTCTGTGCTCTGGGTACCAAGTAGGGAAGTTTGAGGATTGAAGGCTTCATGGAAGAAGTGCCTCGAAGGAGGGATAGACCTGCTAGCTGTTATGATGATGATGACAATGCCGCATCTGTTGGCCGGTAGCGGCTCTGTCTCTGTCACTCTGCAAATTCACTAAGTAGAGAGGTGGGAAAGTGGGATAGTCATGAATAAAGCTTTGGAAGCTGCGGAGCACTGGATGTCAGAAGTTACCCCATCTGCCTTCCCCCCAGGCCCCCAGGGCCCAGGGCAGAAGCATAGCCATCTGCTTGCACCTCCCAGGGTGAAGAGCTGAGAAGTTGAACAGTAGCTAAGAGGAGTCTCTTCCCCCTGGGGTGCTCCTCAAACCCCCCCAAATCAGGGCCTGGGCTTTCCTCCCAAATGCGAAGGCCAAACTCTCCCGTGGAAAGCTGTGACCTGGGATGTCACCACAGCCCCCAGGGAAACTGATCAGAGTACCCAGTGCCATGGCTGCCGGGCAAGCTTTCCTCCTCAGTGGCCCTCGAGACTCAGTCTTGCCCCACCTTCTTTGACGCTCAGTATGGAGGAAACTGTACAGCTCGGGAATTGCAGGACCCGAATTCTTGTTCGGACTGTCTGAATGGTGTGGCCTTAGGCAAGTCCCTTCCTTCCTTGGTACAGACCTCTGCATCCATTTGTCCTGCCTTTGTACCCCTGCCTTCTGACATCCAAGGGCCAAACTGCTCTCCTCTCTTCCTGAATTTTGGCTGTCCCTGACTTCAGTGAATCCTGAGCAGACTGAACTCATTGTGCCTTAGCTCAAGGATCCTCAATGGCTCACTGTTGCCCACAGGGTATGGAGAATACACTTTTGTTCCTCCTTATCCCTCTCCTCCTTTCCTCTTTTGACTTCATTTTTATATTCTACCTGTCTTTAGGCCTGGCTCTGATCCCAGCTCCTCTACTAATTTGCCTACAAAAGTTTACATGAACGCTCTCAACGTATCAGGTGCTGGGGAGTCTCAGAGCTGAAGCAGACAGTCTGTGCCCTTGGTTGTACACCACGCTGGTGGGAGCTGACTCACAGACATGGCGGTGACGGGCAGTAGACTGGGATGACAGAAGGCAGGACACGTGGAGGGGAACTGACCATCTCGACACAGGACAGGCTTTCCCTTTGCTGAGGGCTGTTAACGAAGCGCAGGGCTTTTGCAGGGCTTTCGGTCCAAGGGAGGGGGTGGGAGCTGAGATTTTGAGAAGTCTTGGGGGTGGGGAAACGAGGAGGTGGATCCAGAAGCAGGGGGTGGGAGGCTGGCAAGGGAGATGGTTCCTCGGGAAAGAAAGAGCAGGCTGCAGTAGAGGGAGGAAATTTGGAGGAAGACAGAGCTGATTAAAGAGAAATGTTACGAAGTTTGGCTTTGTGATATAGAGCGACACTTTCCCCCTACTGTTCATCTGAAAGCTTCAGAAAAATTGTTACTACTCGTAACATTGGGAGTTGGGCAGGCCCCCCTCAACATTTTCAGGGCCTGGGCCCGAGTCAAAGGGAGCCTCCTATCGTGTCTCAGAGTTAAAAATCAAACTAACTCATGGTTAAATAAAACATGGCCTATCTTTCTGCCTTGACAAATTAACACTTGTGGGAAGATCTGGAAGGTCAGATTTGAATCCAGAACTTTCTACTCCCTAGAGTTCTGTGTGGAACATGTTATTATGGGAAACATCTGCCCCTGTCCCTGAGCCCCGATGTGGCCCACCCCCTTCTCCCACCTCTGCTCCATCCCACACAGCAAGGGACCTTCTCCAGTGATGGGAACACGCACACACCAGGCTCTGTCCAGACCCCACAGCTGCTGCCCTTTGTCTGCCCGGAGCCACGGCGCACAGCCTAGAGGTATGGCCTGCACTCTGGAGGAAGGGCTGGCAGCCACCCTGGCCTCTTGGATAAGAAATTTATGGAGCGGGGGTCTGGAACTGGGGTGGGGGCTCCAGTGGGCACATCCCCTTGGCCCTGGAAACTCCATGCTTTGTCTGGAGGTGTGTGACTTGACAAGAGCCACACGGATGCCCTCTGATGCGTGGAGGCCCAGAGCAGGGAGTGCTCGCCCCGGTCTGAGGACACCTGTGTGTATGGGTGCGGGGCCAGGAGGTGTCACGTGGAAATGGGAATGTGGCTTAGAGGTGGGCCCCGGGGTGGGCGTGGGATGTCTAGTCACTCATGTGATATGTAGAGAGCTGTGGGCCATGGAGCCCAAACCTCACCTCCCCTCACCTCGGCAACTGCGGGGCACTGAGGCTTTCCTAGGAGGGGTGAGGGTGGGATTGATTAGGGCCAGGCTGTAGGAATCTTGATCTTTGCTGGTGCTGTATTTAACTCTTCACAGATTCATACCTTGGGAGGGGGGGGCAGTGGAGGGTCTGGGAAGGGGTGTTCTGGGGGCGGACAGGGAGGATCTTAATAGCCTGTAAGCTGTGGAAAGGCAGAGAACCTGACTTAGACTCTCCACTTTCCACCTCTGCCCCTGGGATCCCCAGCTCAAATTTGCTACCAAGAGCTTACCGCTCCCTCTGCCCCCTAGCCTGTTTCGGTTCCTGCCTCAGTCTCTCACTTCGTTACCCCTCCTCTCATAGCGAAGCCCTCACCTGAGAAGGGTCACCACCAGTGTTCTCCCTGTCATCAGGTCCCTGCTCCCTCCAGGCCCTCCTGTTCACCCCTCTCCCTTTCTCTCCCCACCTCCTGCTCTCAGCCACATGCGCCTGTCCAAACTATCCCCCTTCCCCCGCCCCCCCCCCGCCCCCCGCCCCAGCTCCAGCCCTTCTCTGGTCCCCTCTCATTGCCCCTCTTCCCTCCAGTCCTACCTGCAAACCCCCACTTGGCCTCTACGAGCAGCTAATACGGGTGCAGCGCCTGAATGTGTTTCTGTTCAGGTAAATTAAAGTCATCAGTTCTGGGGGAAATGAGACGGAATGAAGACTCAGAGCCGCAGCCCCAAAGCCTCCGAGGCCCCTTCAGAATCTCACAGAAGCCTGGGCTGCCCTTCTCACCCGCCTGTAATTGAACCCCTTTTTCCTCAGGCAACACCAGACAAGTTAAATTAAAAAACATTTCTTATTCCACGCTGTTTTCCTGGATCTTTAGAAACAATGAATACAGTAACTGCATTACTTCTCCCAGTGTCTTGTGGCAGATGGTGGCAATAGGGCCTCCGTGGGGTGGCCTGGAAACCTCGAGCCTGCACAACAGCTCCGTTAGCCCAGGGTCTTGCCTCCCCTTAGCTTCTTTAGGAAGATCGTTGACCATTTGTGAGCAGAGCCAAACTGAAGGCTGGGAGCTACTCTTAGCCCCAGATCAACTATTTGTGAATTACTTTGGCATTAACTGAAGCGGTCAGTGGGAAACAGGAGATCAGGAACAGAGCTATTGATTAAAGAGTGGTACATGTGACCTGAACAGTTTTGTATTCTCTTGCATCGGGTTTGTTGATCTAGAACTTTGCAAATATTTTCAAGATTCTTTGTGAGGAAGTAGTCCTCTCCCTCTGGCTAGAACGTAAGATCCTTCAGGGCTGGGACTGATCAACTCCAAAGGGTTAGTTTTCATATAACCAATGAGGGGGAGGCAGCAAGGAACTGCCTGGGTGGAGAAGTCCCTTGAACTTGGCTGCCAGGGGGAGTGAGAATGGGAAACTGCCAGGATAGAGATCGAGGGAAATCCCTGGATGAAGCAGGAGTTGACCTAGGACCAGGGCCAGAGGCCTGGAGGTGAGAAGGGGAGACATTGGCATCAAAGACCACACCAGGAGTGAGGATGGGGGCTCCAGGTGAGGAAGATAAGCCCCACCGGAAGACAGGGCTGACTAATGGGCCTATTCAGATAATAGAGCAAGAGGCTGGCCTGGCAATCTCACACTTTAGCCCAGCGGTTCTTTGACTGTGGTCCTAGACCCACAGCATCAACATCTTCTGGGAACCTGTTAGAAATGGCAATTATCAGGCCCCAACTCAGACCAGAAACTCTGGTGATGAGGCCCCAGCATCCGTGTTTCAGCATGTCTTCCAGATAATTCTAATGCCTGTTAATATTAAGAATCACCTCTCTGGCAAACCATGAGAGACTCTTGAATGCTGACAAAAACTGAGGACTGATGGATGTGGGGGGGAGGGGGGGATGGGCATAGAGGAGGACACTTATGGGGATGAGCACTGAGTGTTATGTGGAAACTAATTTGACAATAAACTATTTGTAAAATAAAATAAAATAAAATAAATAAATAAAACATTTAAAAATAAATAAATAAATAAACATTAAAAAAAAAAAAGAATCACCTCTCTAGACTATACTTTTGGAAAATGTTTGCATTGACAGAGTCTTGAGCCCTGTGGGTGTCTTTTTCCTTACAGTCCCTGACATGCTTGGTGGGCTCAGCCTTCTTGGGGTCCTCTCGTATTATGAGGACATTCCTCCACATAGGGTGGGCCTAGCTTTGGGGGGGGGGGTCACAGTCTTCCACATCCCTTCATGGTAGAGTGGGAAGGCCATAACCTCTGTCCTACACAGAGTTCTACAAGGACCTCTGCGTCCCTAAGGAGACCACCACTGGGGTGGTGGTGGAGGGATTCCTCATTATTGTCCTCAAGGGCCCTACTCATGTGGGCCAAGAATAAGTGGTCAGGCCAACATCTAGATTCTGGTAGGAACTTCCTGCATGACAGAAATTTCATTATCTATTCAATACCACAAACATCTATGCCATTGTGACCATCAGCCTGAAATCTGAGATCTTCCAGGAGACCAGTTCGCTGACAGGTGTCATTGATGCCTCCCAGCTCTGGGCAGGCAGAAGAGATCCAGAGCTTGTGCTAGAGGCCCTCTCCATCCGTCTGGAGCTGGTCCTGGGTTTCGTAATTCATAGTGTATTTTGTGTTGCAGAAACAAGTCTTCATCCTGGACCAATCTGGACACACCAGTGGTTAAAGAAGAGTTAAGTAGCTGCAAGGTTGTTCATTTGTTCACAAGGGAAACTGCCCAGAAAGGACAAGAAAAGCCTCATTTCCTAACCATTAACTGAAAATCACTTTTCTTAGGACAGCTTGACCTCTAAAATGTGACTGAACTATCCAGAAAAAAAAAATGTAGATAAACTATGTCTCCTTTTAGCATTGAGTGCTAGTAAACAAAGTGGAAGAGAAGGAATTCCACCCAAGATGTCAGCAGAAACTTAACTTCTTAGGGGAAATAATTTCCTTTCCTAATTACCAATTAATGAGCATAAGCTTCTGCCCACCAGCACTCTGCATTACTGTCGCTGTGGTGAGGTGGTGTGATGGAAATTTGGTGTAACGCCTTGTGCCTTTGGCAGGGATTAGTAAACCAGAGCTAATAAGCGAATGTGCCTCATTCAAGTTGGGGTGTTATCTTGTACTAAATATTGGGCATGGGTCCATCATATTTGTACAGAGAACATTTTGCTAGGTTTGGTGAGGACACAGAGAGATAAAAACCCAGTTCCTACCCTCCATTAAGTCACATAAGTTATGAGTTATATTTATATCATTATATGAATTACATCAGCCAGTGGAATCTGTTTGTATAAGTAAGATCATTCATTTATTTGTTCGTTCCACAAGTGTTTATTGAGCACCTATTATTTATGCAGCCACTTTGGAAAATCTAGAAAAGTAAACATAACCCAAATTTCCCAGGCTCTGTGTGCTACTGGGGTCATACCAATGGTAAAAGTCACATTTTCTAGATTCTTGTCTATTATTTAGGTAGCACTCCCAGCACCTGCTTTTTGTCCCTGCCTCCAACCAAATTCTCACAGTCTGCAACTAAAAATTTCCAGCAGGTGGTAACACGTGCTCATAAACCAGGCTATAAACTAGGGTTAGACTGCAGCGTCTTCCTTAATTTTCCATTCCAGCTTTGAACCCTCCCCACCTCACCACTGATGTCCATGAACTGAGAACATCTCTTTTCAAGTATTTGTGGCTAGTTCTAACTGGGAAAAATGCTGATATCCAAGCCAGAGGGGGATGGCCCTTGATGTTTCTTTTTTGTTTGTTTGTTTTTTGTTTTTGTTTTTTTTAATGTTTTATTTATTTCTAGGAGAGAGAGAGAGAGAGAGACAGCGTGAGCAGGGGAGGGTCAGAGAGAGAGGGAGTTACAGACTGAAACAGGCTCCAGGCTCTGAGCTGGCAGTCAGCACAGAGCCCGACGCGGGGCTTGAACCCACGAACCGCGAGATCATGACCTAAGCGAAAGTCGGACGCTTAACCGACTAAGCCACCCAGGTGCCCCAGCCCTTGATGTTTCTAAAGCTGCCACCTCTCAAGGCCCAGAATGGTGCTACCTTTCCTCATGAGTGAGGAGAATGCCTCCCACACACCAACCCCCACTCCACAACCACCCCACCCCCGTGGTTCTGTGCTGTGTCACCTGAACTCTGGTCTGTTTCACTGGCCTATGGCCTACCTTTTCACCAGTAACACACTTGATGATTATTATAGCTTCATAGTAAGTCTTCTATCAGATAGTATGAGGCCTCCAACTTTGTTCTTTTTCAAAATTGCTTTGGTTTACTCTAGTTCCTTTGCCCTTCTATATACATTTTAGAATGAGCTTTCCAATTTCCACAAAAAAGCTCACCAGATTTTAATTGGAATTGCACTGAATTTATATACTAGTTTGAGAAGTGATATTTTGAGAAAATTCCCTTCTGATACCCGAACACAGTATAGTTCTCTATTTTTCTTTGATTTCTTTAATTAATGATTTGTAGTTTTGGGCCTACAGATCTCACAGATAACATACGCTTGTTGGATTTATGCCTAAGTATTCCACGTTTTGCCGATGTTACAAATGGCACATAAACATTTAAAATTTTCAACTGATCATCACTAATATATAAAAACAATCACTTTTAGCACATTGACCTTGTATCCTGTGAAATTGCTAAACTCACTTCTAGTGCCTTATATATTCCTTGGCATTTTCTACATAGAAAAATATGTCGTCTGTGAATAGAGAGAGTTTTATTTTATCCTTTACAATCTGTATGCCTTTTATTTCCTTCTCTTGTCCTACTGCATTTGGTTGGACTCCAGTATAAAGATGAAGAGAAGGGGGTAAGCATGAATATTTTTGTCTTATTTCCTTATTTTGTCTTATTTTCCCTTATTTCTTAAGGGAAATGTATTCAGTTTTTCACCCTTTCACCATTAAATATGATGTTACCTGTAGGTCCGATTCATCTGTGTGGTCAGAGTTATGTGTGTAGAATTGTTCACAGTATCCTTTTGATGTCTGCAGGGTGTATAGTTATAAATCCTGCCTTATTCCTGCTATTGGTAATTTGTGTATTCGCTCTCTTTTTCTTTGTCTTTTTCTTGCTAGAAGATCGTCCATTTTATTGATCTTTTGAAAGAATCATCTTTTTGATTCATTGATTTTCTTTACAGTTTTTCTGTTTTCAATTTCTGCTCTTATCCGTATTATTTCCTTCCTCTGATTTGTGTTTATTTTGTTCTTTTCCTAGGTTCTTGAGGTATGTTACTGATCTGAGGCTTTTCCTCTTTTCTGATGTAAGACATTAGTGCTATAAATTTTCCTCTTCGCACTGCTTTATTTCTGTCTCATGAGTTTTACTCTATTTCATTTCATTTCTATTTAGTTCATTTTTTAAAAATTTCCCTTGAGACTTCCTCTGTGACTCATGAATTTTTTAGAAGTGTGTTGTTTAATTTCCAAGTATTCGGTGATTTCTATTTGCTTCTATTATGGTAAGATAACACTCTGTATGATTTAATTTTTAAAAAATTTGTTGAGGTCTGTTGTGCGGCCCAGGAGATGGTATATCTTGGTATGTGTTCCAAGGACACTTGAAAAGAATGTGTATCCTGCTGTTATTGGGTAGAGTGTTCCATAAATTAGATTCTGTTGGCCGATGGTGGTGTTGAATTCTATATCCTACTGATTTTCTGTCTGATTGTCCTATCAATTGTCAAAAAAGAGTGTTGAAGTCACCAACTATAATTGTAGATTTATCTAATTTTTTTCTTTTAGGTCTTCCTTAACCTGCAGCTCTGTTGTTTGTACATACATATTTAGGATTGCT